CAAATTTGGCGCGGGCCTAATTAGGCTCGGGCTAAAAACGTCCGTGTGAACGCACCTATAATGTTTTGCAAAATGGCTGCTTAGCATAAAAGGACACCTATAGGCCAACTCTCGAACTAACAGGCACAATTTTTATTTTTGTGTGTGTGTGAAAATGACCCTCCTGATTCATTTTATCTAGCTTAGAATGCAATAGTATGCCTATACATGCATTAAAAGTGCAGTTTAAGTGCATCACACTTTGTAAAAAACCTTGAAAAACTCTTAGTTAACCGGTACCATGCGACCTACTGCAACGGAATGGTGTTCAAAAATGGCGTGAAATGGGTTAATACGGAAACGAGCCACGAAAATGTCTTAATCACTAATACTAGAGATGCAGAGAGACAAAATAAACCATATATCACCATGTTTGACTTAGGGCGCGCACGGAGAAATGACTGTGAAAAGAGGATAATTTTACTTTTCGGTGGCAAAAACCTCTATACCCGTGTGCCCTAACTCAGCCATGGTAATTTTTGTCCAATCAAAAGTAGAGGTGCTAATCTATCATAACACACATAAAAAAACCTTGGCTGACTTAGGGCGCAAGCCACAGGACCCCCCTGGGTAAGGGTGGGCAATTATGAAATTAGTGATTTAGTGCGCCACCTATGGGCTGCACCCTAAGTCGGCCACCAAAGTTTTCGCATTTTTGGAAAGTCATTGCCCCATAGAGTCCTACAAATGAAAATCTTTGTGGCTGATTTAGGGCGCACAGAAATATTGGCATTTAAAAAACTCATTTTTGGTTGCTTTGTCAATTAGGCCACTTTAGACCCCGATTTTCTAGGACCCCCTGAAAAAGCGGACCTTATTGAGGATCAAAAATACGATTTTTGTCTATCACAAACATATATCTAACATTAAAAATAATTTGGGACAAATCTGGAGGGGTCATATATCACTCTCTAACAGAAATCTACCTGATTCTTATAAAAACTGGCTCTTAATTATATATCATAAGACTGTCATCTATTGGCTATTAAATGACGGTAGTCGATACAAGTTGGGAGTAAACCTAACAGCTCGGTACTAGCGCACGCGTCTGTCTCCGCATCCTCATCGCTGAGTTACCTCCATCCCTCGCGCATGTACAGGTGGAGAGCTTGGAGCAGCAGCTGGCAGAGCTTCAGGAAGCCCACTCCCAGCTGATGCTGCGCACGGAGGAGCTACAGCGACAGCTCGCCGCCGCCGAGCCGGCTAAACGGGCGCTCAGCGACGCACAGCAGTCCCTAGAGCAGGAGCTGCAGGAGCGGCGGCAGTCTGAGGTCGAGGCAGTCAACGTAAGCACGAGAGGGAGTCAGGAGGTGTCTCCCGGGGAGAGGGTGGTCGGTGGTCGGTGGGGAGACGTGTGGAAGAAGGGGAAGGTTCTCCTACCGTTATTTACTTGCCTGACTATTGTTTGAACTTGCCTGTCCATTGTCCACTCCTTATATTATTGTATTGTATTGCATTGTATTGTATTAATTAGAAGTTATAGTATTTTAACAGCTTTAAATTATTCCATCCCTCAGATTATGTCTCCACGAAAAAGACTATTCAGTAAATGTATTTGTGCTTGAAAGAAAAATTTATAACAATAATAATAATAATAATAGCAAGAGAGCAATGAGATGATGTTTCTGATGGTGCTTGCAAGTTTACGTTGTTACTTTTAGAAATGTACCATCAGTAAATAAATGAACAAATAAATAAAACAAGAAGACCACACTGTGACGATGAGTGGTCTCCATGGTTCGATCTACTCTACGCCGCGCCGGGCGGCAACAACAAGACAAAGCCTTTTTGAAGAGGATTCTTCTGATGGTGAGGAGCTTGCAAACTTGTTGCAATGTTGTTAATTTTAGAAATTTACCACCATTAAATCAAATCACATAAATAAATAAATAGATAAATAAACGCATGAAGCACGACGCGGTGCGTTACTCACTCTCTCAGCTGATCGACGAGATCCTGTTTAGACTGTATCTCATCACGCGGTGCGACACGCTACGCTACAGTACGCTACGCTACGCGGTGGGTTACTCACTCTCTCAGCTGATCGACGAGATCCTGTTTAGACTGTATCTCATCACGCGGTGCGACACGCTACGCTACAAGTACGCTACGCCTAACGCCGGGTGTGTTACTCAGCGTCTCTCAGGCTGATCGACGGATTGCTGTTTAGACTGTAATCTCGTCACGCGGATGCGATCACGCACGCTACTAGGACGCTACGCTACGTCGTGGTTACTCACTCTCTTCAAGCTGATGCGACCGAGATCCTGGTTTAGATATGTAATGCTCATCGCGCGTGCGAACGCTGCGCTTATCAGGTACGCTACACATACGCGTTGGGTTTACCTGCACTGGGCTCTCACGCTGATCGACCGAGATCCTGTTAGAGCTGTATCTCATAGCAGCATCGCGGTGGCGACACGCCTACGACCTACAAGTCCACGCTACGACCTAACGCGCGTGCGTTACTAGCACTCTCTCAAGCATGATACGAACGAGATCTTAGTTTATGACTGTATTCTCATCCACGCAACGGTGCGGACACGCGCTACGCTACAGTACGTTACGTCTATCGCGGTGGGTTACTGCACTCTCTCGGCAGCTGATCGAACGAGATCGCTGTTTAAGGACTGTATCTGCATCGCGTGGTGGGCGACATCCGCTACGCACAGTAACGCTACGCTTACGCGGTGTTTAGCTCACTCTCTCAGGCTGAGTCGGAACGAGATCCTGTTTAATTGTATCTCATCACGGCGATGCGAACGCTAACGCTACGCTACAGTAGCGCTACGCTACGCGGTGGTACTCACTCTCTCCAAGTGATCGGACGAGATCCTGTTTCGATCTGTATCTCATGCACGCGGATGCGACAACGCTACGCTACCCAGTACGCAGCCCGCTACGCTAGCGCGGTGGGTTACTTCACCGTCTCTTCGGCTGATCGACGAAGATCTGTTTAGAGCTGGTAATCTCTGTCACGCGTGGCGACACGCTAACCTACGAGTACGCTACGCTACGGCGGTGGTTACGTCACCTCCTTCCGCTGGATCGAGACGAGATCCTGTTTTCAGACTGTAATCTCGTCACGGAAGGTGCACCGCTACGCTACAGTACACTGACGCCATACGCCTGTTGAGCGTTACTCCCTATCTCAGGGCTGATGCGAACGAGATCCTGTTTAGATGTATCTTCGTAGCGTCGTGCGACGACGGCTACACTACACGTACGCTACGACTTACGCGGTGGCGTTTACTCAATCTCTCAGCTGATCGCGACGAGATCCCTGTTTAGACTGTATTCGTCAGCGCGGTGGCGACAGCGTACACTAGCAGTAACGCTACGCTACGCGGTGCGTTACTCGCTCTCTCAGCTGAATGACGAGATCACTGTTTAGACTGTATCTGCATCGCGCGGGTTGCGACAGCGCTACGCCTCAGGTACGCGCTACGGCCTACGCGGTGGTTACCCTCAGCGTTCCCTCTCAGCTTGATCGACGAGATCTGGATTTTAGATTTGAGTATCTCATCGCAAGCGGCGCATGCGAACACGCTAACGCTACGCCTACATGTACGCTAACGCTACCGGTGGGTTAATCACCGTCTGCTCAGCTGATCGACGAGATCCTGTTTAGAGCTGTAGCTCTTCACCGCCGGTGCGACACGCCTACGCTCCAGTAAGCATACGCTACGCGGTGGGGTTAACTCACTCTTTCAGCTGATCGACGAGATCCTGTTTAGACTGTATTCTGCGTCAACGCGGTGGGCGACATCGCTATCAGCTAGCAGTAGCCTACGCTACAGTAAGTGTGCTAGACGGGACTAACGGCGGTGGGTTACTGGTCAACTCTCCGTCAGCTGATCCCCGACGAGATCACTGATTTAGACTGATCTCATCGACGGGCGGCTGCCGACACGGCTACCGTAACAGTAGCGCTACGCTACGCGGTGGGTTGATCACTCTCTCAGCTGATCGACGAGATTCCTGTTTTAGACTGATACTCATTCGGCGGTGCAACACGCTACGCTACAGTACGCTACGAACGCGGTGCGTAACTCACTGCTCTGCAGCTGATCGAGACGAGATCCTGGTTAGACTGTATCTCGTGCCTGGTGCGACAGCGCTAGCGCTTACAGTAAACGCTACTCGCTACGCGGTGAGTTACATCCTCTTCTCAGTGATCGACGAGATCGCTGTTTAGAGCTGGTACTCGTCACGCAGGGCCGTCACCTGCGGCTGATGGGTCATCACGCTGTCCGCTCGCATGACTGTACTCCAGCGCTTGCTTCATCTGGTTCTCCTTCTCGGCTTCTCCTCGCTTCACGAACCGTCGTGCACCTTGGCTGCTGGGCAACGCCGAGGGTCAGCGTCAAGGGTTACAACGGATACACGCACTATGCACACGGACGCACGCACGCAGCACACACACACACAACGCCACACACATCACGCCAGGTCAGCACGCGACACACACACGGCAACGTGTGTAAGCAGCAAACACCACACGCACACATGCACACCATAATACACCCATAAGCACACAGTAGAAAACACTGCTAGATATTTTACTAAGAGTGCTTAGGAAGACTGAAAACATCTTACTGTGATCACTTTAGGTCAGTAGGTTTCGAACTGCTGATGACAACATAGGGGGCCAGGGTTCAAGTCCTGCCATGGCTTACCCTGAATGTTCCATCTTTTTATGCACACCGGAAAGTTATATTATTCGCACAGGTAACGTTTTTTTTATGTGAAAACTATGCTCTGTGCCCAGCGAAATATCTATACAGCATAATATGATGTGAAGTTATCATTCTAATAAAAAGGCATTTATAATAGATTTTTATAATAATAAAATATTATAAAATACTTTTATTTCAAGATAATACATGTTGTGAAGCAAATATTCAAAATATAAATGTAAACAAAATAATGTGTAAGACTTATAGAGAAACATGGCAATGATATAGAATATATGCAGCCTTTAGGCTGCCCTGGACAAACACTGCTAAGCCATCGATTATAGTGGATGTATTAACTTGGATGGATCTCTGGATGGATTACTGGATGGATCTCTGGATGGATACGTTCGAGTGATTACTGATGGATCTCTATGATGGTTTGACTGATGATCTTACTGGATGGATTACTGGCATTGGATGCTCTTGATGGATTATAACGGATCGGCATCCTTACTCGATGGATTAGCTCCGACCTGGATCGTCTAGAACCTGCCGACTTACCTGGACTGGATTACTGGAATGGATTACTGGAATGGATCTCTGATGGATATAGGGATGGATTTACTGATGGATTACTGATGGATCTCTAGATGGATTACTGGATGGATCTTGGATGGATTACTGGACATGGATCTCTGATGGGTTATTGGATGGATTACTTGGATGGATTGAGCTGGAGTGGATTATTGGATGGATCTCTTGATGGATTATAGGGGAGGATTACTGGATGGATTCGTCTAGATGCGATTAGGCTGTATGGATTACTGGATGGATTATTAGGGCTGGATCTCTGGAGTGGATTCATAGGGATGGATTTCTAGATGGATTACTGATGAATCTACTGATTGAGATTACTGGATGGATCTCTGATGGATTAATTGGAAGATGGCATTAGACCTGGGATTATTGTGATGTATTATATGGGTTACGATTACTGGATGCTACATAGGTCACATTCATGCTGGTTGCTACCTTGGGCGTTTAACTTGACACACTCCTCGTTAAAGTCTGTCCCAGCTTCGCTCAGCTGCCTCTTCTTTCTGTCCAACGCTCTTTATCGATTCTACGCATCGTCCTTCATCTTCACTTCATGCTGCAATTATTCACACAGACACGCGATAATGTCAGGGTCAATTCATGATCAACAACAACAACAACAAACAACAACAACAACAACAACAAGAACAACAACAACAAAAACCGAACAACAACAAAACATAACCACACGACATCAACAACAAGCATCAGCAACACATCAACAAAAAACATCAACAACAAACAACTCAACAACAACAACAACAACGTTCATTAATACACTGTATTGCTGCTAGTATGTAAGGGTTATTGTTGTAGTGACGTATAGGACAGCTTGAGATCTTAGACTGTCACCGTTCATTCTAACACACGATGAACTCGCATACTGCTGGCAGGAGTAGGCAGCAGTCATGAGATCTTAGACTGTCACCCGTTCATGCTCAACACAGATGACTCACACGTACGCTGCTGTAGGAAGTAGGCGGGCCGTCTGAGAGCTGGTGGTCTGTCTCTGATCTACGGTTGCTGTTACAGCTTGGCATCCTTGGTCGCAGCTGCTGGCAGCGGAGTAACGAGTGTCTTCACCTCCGTCTTCAGCTTAAGCTAACGTAGAGTCTCGCGACCGTGAACTCCGTCATCTACGCTTACCATTCTGATGCACAAATGTAACTACACAGAGACACAAAAACTGTACTACACACCTGTCACACACACAGCACAGCACAGCTATACTACAAATGAGTTCGCGACCGTGACTCCATCATTACCTTACACGTTTCTGATACACTGTAACTACACAGATACAGCACACGCTGTAACTTACACACGCTGTCAATACAGTACACATCGATACAACACCCTGTACACTGCACCTGTACTACACAGATACACCACACCTAGTATAACAACCTGTACACACACACACAAGCTTACTAACATAGAGGCGCTCGGCGACCGGTGAACTCCCTGCATGCTACCTTACGCTTCTGATCCAGCTGTAACTCACAGATACACACACACTGTATGTCTTACATCACATGCTGTACACCAGCTGTAAGCTCACAGATACAAGACGGCTGTTTCCGGTCACGGCTGTAAATCACAGAGCAACCTGTAGACTCACGCTGTAACTACACAGAGACAGCACACTGTACACTCGCACCGTGCATAACTAATGCATACCACACATCTGGACACAGCACCTGTAACTTACCAACACCCACGCTGTAAGCTAGCACAGCACGGACAACACCTGTTCACTCACTCTCATAACTACATCGTACACACCTGTTCTAGGCACAGAGACACACAGCTGTAACATCACCTCCTAAGCTACAATGTACACACATGGGACCCACACCTGTAACTACATACAGCAGAGCCGTAAGCTAGCAGCAGAGACACACACACCGTGTTCCGTCACCTCTAACTAATACGAACGAAGCAGACAACCTGTCCATCGTCACCTGCAACTACACAGAGACACACACCTGTACACTCCACCTGTAACTACATACCACGACAGCCTGTACACCTCACGGCTGTAAATCCACTACCCACAGATATACACACACCTGTTACACTGGACCCCCGCGGCGACTCACATCTGTAAACTACACAGAGACAGACACACCTGTAACACGCTCTCACCTTGCTAACTAGCAACACACACAGATACACTGCACGCTGTACACTCACCTGTAACTACACTACACAGGATACGCACACGCTAGTAACTACACGCGATGAGACCGAACACATGTCCACTCACCT